CACAGTCACACACACGTTTTACACCATAAGTGAGGCACTACTGAAATTAGCACGGAGGCGGCTAGTATTGTGGGCTGACAGAATTCATAAGAGCCAAGACAAGGGAGGATGAACTGAAAATTTTAGTCCTGGTTCACATTTCTTAAGAGGCAGCTGATATTGTTTAGTCGACAGCTAGTAATTTTTCACGAGATTGACGTCAGTATGCCGTGAAGACTGTTTTTATGGAGATTGCAGAAGACTGTTTGCTCTCAATTGCCCTCACTAAGTATGCTGTGAATTTCAATTAAGAATTTCAGATGACTTGACAGTGAGATCTACGGTTTACATAGGCAATGCTAGTACAGGTCTCATGGCCCAATTTGTTCTCCACGACCAGTGGATGTTTGAAAGCTTGTTCAAGCTATGGATACAGAATATTTGTGAAGGGAAACATTGGTGTTGGCTGGTAATTTGAGAATGGCACATGCCAGCCAGATACCTGGAGTAGTTAAGAACATATATATCATCAGTTTGTGGCTTTTTGGGCGTGGATAATTTTTGCCGATTCTACATTATATATACCTGAGAGAGAAGTTCCAATTCTCACTGTATGATTTCACTACTTGTGTATTATACAATGTATATGCATATGGATATTTTGACTTATCCTTTTTTTGTACTTATTTGTTAAGTACAATGAATAGTATGGAGTGCATTATGATATTATCTGATCTATGTTATTAAAAGGCACAGTGATAAGACAGTCTTATGCCCACACATTTACACATAGCCTATGAAGCCTATGATTTAGAAGGGCGTTTTGAAATCTAGACTGAAGATGGGCGTACTTCACATTCACACATAGCCTACGAAGCCTATGATATAGATACAGTTTATGAGATCCTTCTTTTGCTCGCAAGAGTGTCCAATGCGGGCATGAAACCATAACAAAGCTTATCCAGAGGCAAGGATGCTGTTTCCTCTGAGATGTTGGGAAGTGCTGAGATCCCTGAAGTTTCATTGAAGTTTGTGGCATGATTCGTGGCTTCATATAAAGATACACAGATGGGTTTGATCACCTT